CATATAATGGACTTCAATGGGAACCAAAAGGTTCAAGGTCCAAAAGTCAGCTTCAGTGCAAACTGTTCAAAGGGCTTTAAACGATTCCAGACGAAAAAATAAATAAAATAAAATTTAAGTTTAATAAGCTCAAATGGTCGCCTTGCTCTGTTCGTGACTCTCCTGTTCGAACTCATTTATAAAAATGAACGAATCTTTTTTCGTGTCATTTGGTTCATTCAACGAACGAAATGAACGAACTGACTCGGGAAAAGATTAGTGTAATAAACACACTATCTCCACGTCGATTTCACAACATTTCAAATCCCTGTTTCTCGCCATCTCCGAGAAGCTTAGCCAATGTTGATTCTTGTTTTATTACGAGCTCCGTCGCGTTCAACATTTTTTATTTCAAATGAGTTTATATTTAACTGTAAAAAGCTTAGTGTTTGAAGTAGCACGGCTCTATCATCTGTTAATAGGGTTGGGTATCGTTTGAATTTGAACGATTCTGATTCCGATTCCTTGTTTCGATTCCGGTTCCTAACGATTCTCGATTCCGATTCTTTTAAGAGGCAGGGTCAAAAAAGTTTAGCTAACCTTGCTAACCAACGGTCTTTCTGAAGGAAATACTCCTTCTGTAAAAATACTCCTTTTGTCACAAATTTTGCATTTTGCCGAGATTTCGTTATTTTTAGAAAAGTGAAGCCACACTTTGGATCGCCGACGTAAGGTACTCATGTTCGACTCGCGCGGTTATGCCAACACTTCCGGTAGACGCTTCTTCGTTGGTGTTGTTCAGCGGTTTCTTCTTCCGCTCGGCGGACTGTGAATATCGAAACTAGGAATCGAAATTTTAACTTTTGAACGATTCCGGGAAAAACGAAAAGTTAGTCTCGGTTCCAATCGATACTCGATTCTCGATACCCAACACTATCTGTTAAATGGCACAAATGATCAAATGAGTTGGATATAGACCTTATTCAGAGCAGCGCCATGATGGGTATGAAAGTGAGGTTGTGAGGGATAGTCTTACCGTGTTTCCAATGGCATCCGCTGTAAAAAGCTGAATAAAGCGGCTAGATTACTTACAATTTTCCGCAGCTTACATTGTTGGGAGTTTTTTGTCAACTGACATTTCTTGGAAAGATATTTTCCCAGTGTTTCATGAGCAGAACAATCCGAAAACACATTAAAAAACAGTACAGCCCATTGAAGAGATGCAAGTCTATCCCTCACAGCCTCGCTTTCATTCTCATTAAAAATCAAAGATGGCGCTGCCGTGAATAAGGCGTATTGTGGCTCATCAGATGCCAATTTCAGGCTCACCCAAATTTGTACATAATGTCGTCAACTTTGTCATTCTTAACCTGATTTTTTCTTTCTTTCTGTGGAGCACAAAGCATATCCTGAGAGAATATGTGTGTGTGTGTTTACCTCACAGGTAGAGAACGAGTCAAACATGCTGCAGGATGGTTCTCTCATCGATCTCTGCGGGGCCACTCTGCTGTGGCGGACCCCTAGCGGTCTTCGTCACACCCCGACTCTCAAACAGCTGGAGTCTCTACGTCAAGAACTAAACGCAACCCGTCCCCAGTGCCCCGTAGGCTTCAACACGCTCATCTTCCCCAGCCTGGCACAGCGCGCCACCATCGAAAAGAAACAGCCCTGGGTCTATATGAACTGCGGACACGTGCTCGGTTACCACAACTGGGGGTTTCGTAAGGAGAAAACGGGTTCCTCTGCGGTGGCATTAACCGGAGAGGGGGGCACAGCTCCGGCTGCGACCGGAGATCGCGAGTGTCCCATGTGCAGAGGGGTCGGCCCCTACGTGCCCCTCTGGCTCGGGTGCGAGGGGGGCCTGTACCTGGATGCAGGGCCCCCGACACACGCTTTCTGCCCCTGCGGTCACGTGTGCTCGGAAAAGACGGTGCAAGGCTGGAGTCAGATCCCACTGCCGCACGGAACGCATGCCTTCCACGCTGCTTGTCCTTTCTGTGGAACGTGGCTGACCGGGGAACAGGGCCACATCAAACTCATCTTCCAAGGGCCCGTCGACTGAGAGGAACGGTGGGATGTTGAGACTGAATCGCAGAAACTGAGAGTCTGGACACAAAAGGAAGAGCTTGTGAAAAAGGCAAGGATGACAAAAAGGGATTATACTTTGTTATGCGATGGAGAATGTGTAAATAAAAGTGATGAAATTAAAGTTGAAAACATGGAGTCATTGTGTGCAAGAAGTGGTGAATGGAAACACACATGCATACATTTGCATATGTGTAAAATTTATATATATATAAATGAAGAGTTCAGATGCAAAAGCCTCTAAGTGCCATTTGAAATTTTCTTCTAGAATGATCATTTTTATCAAGCTTGTATATTTAAGTTCAGTAATTTCACTTAAATGGCAATGATGATTACCTATTTATTGTTATTTAAGTGAAATTACTGAACTTAAATATACAAGTTTGATAAAAATCATCATTAAAGAAGAAAATTTCAAATGGCTTTTGCATCTGAACTCTTCAAATGTAAATTGTGTAACATGTTGACAGTGCAACTGGGTTAAACATATCTGGCTCCCCTAAATCATGAGGAAAAAACTATTATAGGACCATTAAGACTGTGCATTGTGGCATTTGAGAAATTAAAAATAGGAAAAGCACAGTTCCCATTTACTGTAATGAGTCCAGAAATTTGAATTTAAGTTTAGACCCATTATTCTCAGACCATTATAGTCCTTTTAACTTTAGTACAGTAACATTTATTTAATTTAAATCAAGAAAAAATTAGGGCAACAACACTAATACCATGAAGTGTATATACTTGAGAATGAATGAAATTAAGAATTTATGAAATCCATGTTTGTTTGGGGTTTTTTTTTTTTTACAGAAAAGGAATGAGAATTTAGGGGGAAACTGTCTTGAGAAAAATGTTGTGATGCAAAAACCATTAAAGGGATAGAAAATACTCACCATGTCATTCCAAACCCATGTGACTTTGATCAATGTTTGAAACACAAAATAAGTTATTTTTAATGAAATATGATCTGTCCCGGCACTGAAAGTCCAGGAAACCGAAAATTAGAAGATCCAAAAATGTCAAAACAAATCCAGATGAATCAAGCAGTTTAATCCAAGTCTTGTGAAGGGATATGGTTGCTTTATATGATGAACAAATGTATTTTAGGCTTTACATATAAACAAAAAAATATATATATTTTTTCATTTGAAATGTATTAATTTATAATGGGCAAGGTACAACTTAGAATAAATTACATTTTTGGGTGTACTATCCCTTTAAGAGTCCAGAGTCCTAAAAATAGCTTATGCTTATTTCTCTCTTCTATGGTGTGAAATCTGACTCAGACAAGCTTTTGATAGGGAAATTCGCATAATCAGCAATGCAAAATTGTGTGCTGGAGAGAAAGCGAGAAATAATAAAGAGGAAAAAGACAAGCCATCAACCAGAAAACAAGTTTAAATTTAGCATCCACGTGTGTGTGTGTGTGTGTGTGTGTGTACTATACAGGAATGCTCAGATATCTTTACAATTTTCAGGGTCTCACTTATGGATTCTGATGAGCTGGCACACTGAGAAATTAGAGCGAGGGATGCTGCATTTTCTCTCTCTCTCTCTCTCTCTCTCTCTCTCTCTCAGGGGAGTCTGAGCAGAGCGGTACAATCCTGCATACGGACTGCAGCTACTCTAACGGGCTATAAATAACTCAAGGTCATTTGCTCACCCCTTCTACACATGCACACGCCTCCCTCCAAATGTGTCTGTGCACAAACAAAAACTAGCTCACGAGATATAGTAAATCCATCACTGAATCAAATGTGACATCAAATGGCTTCTATGTATGATGTGAAGTCACACTGTGAGTCTGTCTGGAACAGTGCTGTTATTGTTAACTAGTACATTAATCAATTCGCTTAGGGTCGCAGGACAGCTGCCGCATTCACATATTCAGTGTTTTTCCAATTCACCTGCAGTTTATTCCATGTTTTTGTGAGAAAAATCTGAAGCATCCGGAGGAAATCCACGCTTGCAAAGGAAAACGAGCAAACTCGCTATTGAAATTGTTGGATACACTTCATTTTAAGGTGTCTTTGTTACAGTTTAACTATACATTTAAGAACCAAGAATATTCAAGATTAACTAACATGTACTTACTATAAAATTAGAGTTAGTTGCATGTAATTATGCATAACTAACTGTTATTAATACAGTAAGGACATGTAATGTGTAACAAGGACATGGTAGAATAATTGATATGAAGCTGAAATAAAATAAATATTAAATGAAAAACTAATTCTAAAAATGTTATGAAAATTAAAGCTATATAGAAACCTTAAAAAATTATAAAAAGAAAAAATCACAAATTACTAAACTGCCGAGAACTAAAACTTAAACACACACACACACACATGTATACATATATATATATATATATATATATATATATACACACATACACCATGTATACATAAAAATATATACATACATATATATATACACATACAATGTGTGTGAATATATATATATTTATTTTTTTAATGCACATAATATATATATATATATAAAAAATATAGATATTTAATAGATATTTTGTGAAAGACAATTTTTTTCCTGACATTACTTTCATGACAACTAATCACATTTCCTCACCCAATTCTCATTACTATAATGCATCCAGATGTTTTAATGTTGAGTTTGTCAGTAATTCTCATTATTCTAAATAATGGTCTTCATTACATTCTACATTATACTGTAATTCAATGACGTGAATCATCCAGTCCAGACAAAATGATCTTAATCATTAAAATCAACATGAATATTTTGTGCTTCTGTGGTGAAACATGCCACGTTCAAGTTCATGACAAGTTTATGAGATTCAACTTACAAAAATGATCAGTCATCACATTTCCAAACCAGCACAGGAAGTGATACTTACCTCACCACCCACACGACATTACTCTTCAGTTCACACAAGAGAAAAGCAAGCAGGAAAAGCCATCTTTAAGTCTCATGTTGATCATTTTATTATATATATTTATAATATGTACAGAGAAGAGAAAACGAGATCAAACCCAGCTATGAAACAGCACTGGGATGAGCAAGCAAAAGGGGGGATAGAGAAAGAGCGTGTATATTAGACAGGGAAACTACTAAAGAGCTGCTTGCCATTTTACCATCGCCGTGTCTTAATTCAAATAACTGAGATGTGCAAATGACATGGGTAAAAAGTAAAAATGAAGACGCACATTCATAAGCAACGACCCCCCCAACCCAACCCCATAACCCTTCATCGTTCCTCTAACCCAACACATTACCACAAAAGCGTAAATTCATAGATCAAAAGACAGCAATCAATCTGAGAGAACAGAATGCATCCAAAAAAAGCACTTGTTTAGTGTGAATGAGCGCAGGGTTTAAATGAGACTTTCATATACTGATTATTTTCACGCAGATGAATCCACAACGGCCCCGTTTTTTAAAAATCAAAGGAATGTTCCCAAACGCAGTTTCTGCATTTGCCCCGTCCCAGCCATTGCACGCGCACCCATATCCCTGCTACTGCTCCCTCCAACCCCACAATACCAGTCCACTTACAAAACGTACAAGCAAATCCACCACACCACATTAGTGATGAGAATGTGCGCTTATGTTAGAGGTGTGAGAACAATTACACTGGCTTTGTGAGTGAAAGTAATGTCACGATGGCAAGACTATCCTATTTAAGACAGAGTGACGCACTAATACTAGTGAAGTTCACAAACTATCAACATTTTCTAGATCCACGTTGTACATGATAAAACGGCCAGATCAAAAACAGGTCAAAGAGGTCGAACCATGTAGGATCCATCTTGCAACATCTGAATGACACCCTTATTTTGAGAAAGGTCCATCAGTGGGTAGATTGGAAAGCTATAATCTACGTGTACGGATATTTTTCCATTCAAGAACATGGGAGGTCATATCCGGTCTGCGACACTGGACCAGTCAATCCCAATACTCCTAGATGTAATACACAATATTCCCACACACACACACACAGCACACTGAACTGACTTTCGAAATTAAGGCCCTTTACAAATATGCTCACCGTATGTAAATAAACACAAAGCACACGCAATGCATGATGGACCATATTTTGGCAGCAGCGAGAACTACGGGTTGGCTTTAATCGAAGTCTGGCTCAATGTGATGGTTAAATTGCACACAAACCGAAGCCACAAAACTGCTGAGACCACAGGAGGAAACGACCTCAACGCGAGTCAAGATGGTGTTCAACTTGTGATGGCCGAACACTCAAAAGTAGCAGAGGTCGTTGAGGTAATAGAGGGAACAGTAGCGTTCAAGCCTAGACCCCCGTAATCCTGATTATGATCAAAACCCCAACTCTATCTGTATCGTTCCCCAACCAACAATGCCATTGACAGCAGTAAGCCTTTATACAATAAGCCTTCATTAGAAAAACAAAAACCTAAAGAAAACAACAAAAACAAATCTGTCTTAAAAATCACCATAGGAACAATAATATACTAGTAGGATGTGAACAAGTAGAGAATATTGCCGACTTTGTATGCGGTTGACTTCCTGTCGATTCAGCCTCAGAAGCCATGCTTTCGCACACAAAACCTCATTCAAGTGACAATGTGGGAGAGATTTAGAAACACTAGAGAGAGAGGTTTACCCTCGCTAGTCGTTTACAAGGACGATTTGAGGATCGCCCCTCATTATAGACATCTATACATGGACATATGACTGTACCAAAGTTCCACTTTTGGTACTCTGGATGTGGGCGGGGTTATTCGTGTGCACAGGGCGGTGAGGTGTCTTACAAAAGGGGATAATAATAAAAACAAGAAGACTATGATGTCATAAATGAAGCCATAAGGCTGTTAGACGTTGGCTCTTAATGCAGTGGTTCCTCCCGTGAGAATGCTGTTTTTTTTGGTGTGTGTGAGAAAATGTGTTTGAGGGGGAAAGGGATGGTTTTGTGTGCGTGTGTGTGTGTGTGCTCGGGCTCTTCAACAGCAGCCGCCGCCAGACTGCCGCACAGGAGTGCTCTCGATCTTCAGGTTGGGCTTGTCTCCTCCAGTTGTGGCTCCAGGGCCCATGCGCTTCTTGATCTCGGCAGCCATCGTCATGAAGGCCTGCTCCACGTTTGTGGCATTCTTAGCGCTCGTCTCAAGGAAGGGGATCGCTAAAGAGTCGGCAAATTCCTGGAAGGTAAAAAGAACCAGAGTGAGACACTTCAGAACGCTTTTTATTTTGCCCAACCTCATGCTTGGCACTTCTGTAAAAAGGCCCATTCGTACCAAGCATGACAACTGTAACAATTGACCCTTCGCTAAGCCCCGCCCTCCCTAGTTACTGTTGCTACGCCTGTCAAGCTTTCGCGGCTGACCCATCTATTATAGTGTGGATGCACCTGGTATCAGACATTTCAATGAGATAATTAGTAATTTTCGGCGAACAAGTGAAATATCTGAGAGAGCAAGACAAAAGGGACTACAGTATGCATTCGAGAGATATATTCACGACATTAAATGCAACCGATTAGGGAATAATTTCTTAAAAATTGAAGTTAAAGCCTAACGTTATAGTCCCAGCGCAAGCAGCAGCGCCTCATACGCTGACCGTTCAAATGGAAAACACAAATTGAGGAACAGCTATGTTCATACACAGCAGGGTATGTGAAAATAATCTTAATAATTATAAATCAAACAGCTTATCAATAAATCTTGTGGAATAACTAATACCGGGAGAGCCGCGATCGGATTGGGTTAGGTTAAGGGGTAACGTTAGTAGGACGTCGATTAATAAAATGCTGAAATATATTTTAAAGTATGTCAGTGAGCCTTTGTCTTGTCTCTTTAATCGTCTTATTTTACGTTATATCATTATGACCAAAGAACCGTCCATATTTCCAAGCAATAGGTGTTTTTGTTAAGCATGTCGACATTTACCAGTAGCCTATGTGAATGGGTCTCGCACATAGATGCTAGATCACGCCAATCATTTCTCCCCTTGGCTTTTAGATTTTCTGAAGAAAAAAAAACAATTCCTTTCCCCCGTCCAAACTTTTAGATTTGCACAATCCATACGCACAATGCTTCAGCATGTTCCCTCGTTCAAAAGCTTGCCAGACCTCCCGCGCATGCTACGACATGATTGGCCAGTGGCGGTTTTCGGGCGTGGCTTAGCGAAGGGTCAATTAAAAGACATTTTAAAAATAGTTCTAAATGTAAGAGAATAGCAGGGTCCACACCAGAACTATAATGATAACGACAGAGATATTCCAACGCGTTCTCATCCTAGAGGCCCGTACACACCGGGACGGATATCAGCGTGCGTTATTCGTCAGCGTTTTTTGTGTTCACACCCAAGTGATTTTCGCTGACGATGAGCCGAGTGAACATGCAAATTCATTCCCTGACATTAGATGGCGCCAATTTGCTCTGCAATACCCCTCCATATCAGTTTTCTTTTATCAAGATGTTTGTAGTCCCTGTCGCATTTGTCATCTAGTTATTTAAGTTCTAGCATCAACGAGAACAGCAGCTCTACATTCATCTTGCCTTGCATCTTCCCCGTCTTATTTCTTCCTGGCTGTGTAGACGGCGACGCTACTTGGGGTAGATCTTCTTCGCCGTTGCATATGTGTGCTCGGCAAGACCGTTTTGTGTTTGAGCGCCCCCAAGTTTTGTTTTACTGTAATTTCAGAAGCTCCAAACACGTGAGCAAAAGCGCCAATCTCATTGGTCGGATAGTTTTTGACGCGGCGCATCAAACTAAAAAAAAACTAAGCCGAGGCGTTTTTTTAAAAAAAATGACGCTTTTACTTGTGGCGTTTTACGTGTCAGTGTGAACACTCACATTGGCGCCCTTTGTTTAGTCACGAGGCGTTAAACGTCGGCGAATAACGCGCGCAAAATTCGTCCCGGTGTGAACAGGCCTTAAGGCGTCATATAGTCAAGAAACACTTTTGAAATTTCATCTCAATTCTGTTATATTCGGTTATGGTAGGTTTAGTTCTGGGGTAGGTTTAGGGTTAGACCACTAGGAGGTGCCTTCTGGCCCATATATATATCTTAGGGCTGGGGTAAACGATTATTAACTAAACGATTAGTTGGGCGATTATTTTATCGATTAGTCGCCTAATCTAATGACTAATATAAAGAATATTTTTTCTGCTGCTCAATTAATAAAAAAACAATATCTCAAATAAATACTAGCATACTGAATCAAGATACTATAAGCTGGCTAACATTAGTCTAATGTTATGTATTTGAACACCATCATAACTCTACAACCGCCAAAACCGTGTTATTAAAATATTTTTTACAAACATTTTTTATCATAGAGAATGTTTAAATATTAATATCAGCTGAGGAGGGAAACGGAGGCGGAGTTAGTGGTGCGATCGGAGGCTTCTACTACTGGAGATGAATCGGGAGAGGTTTGTGCACCTACTGATCAGAGCGCGTGCTGACACGGAGTAAAGCCTTGTTTATACTCGACACGTCCGCACGAGCGCGAATGTGCGCACGGCAAAAATGACGCGTTGGGTGCGCAAGACCAGGAAGACTCAAGACTGTGGTGGGCTGTGTGTACGCCTTTTTTTTGTAACAGCGCGCCCGGCGCCGCGTCCGGAAACAACTTCAAGCCGAATCTGCCCGAGCTTGTACGTCTCACCACACCGGCACCCAGTTTGCGCATCTAAATTGCAATTTTTTTTTCTTAAGGGTTTGTTTACTGTGTGTGATTCATTTAATGGATAGCACATTCATTTCTAGTTGTCTTCGTCCTCTATTCTGCAATGTTTCGGTCTCCCACGTGTGTGTGGCAAGCTGTACCGCCGGGAACATGCAAAAAATAAATAAATAAAGAAGCGTCGACGCAATTTTGACGTCGAATCATCGACGCGCCGCAACAGCACTAATATATCTACGTCTCATATTGACGCTAAAGGGTGCCATGTGCGTTGGATGTAGCCGAAATGTCAAAAGCGTCAGTATATGACGTCTTGGGATGAGAACGGGCTGGATATTCAACATAATTTTTTTCCAGCTGATGAATGATAAAAATCTTGGCAGCCAATCAGAATGCATCCTGTTTTAAAGAGCCTGAGCATTTAAAGAGGCTGACAACAAAACTTACAATAAACAGAATGATAACGTGCGTTGGACGCTAATACACAGTTTATCTTTATAGTTATTGTTCTTGGTGTGAACAGGCCCACTGAAGTGCCTTGAAACGCGTAGCGGTACTCAGTGTTTGAGTAATTACCACTGACACAGGACGACTGGGTGAGACATAGAGCAGCTCCTCCCCTTTTTTTAAATAGCCAATAGCATTACATTTATATAACAACTTTGTCAGAGCCATTGAGCTCGAAAAAAAAAAAACACATTTGACAGCTTATGAAAGCCACAGTTTAATAGATTCCCCTTTTAGATGTAATATGAAACCGTCTGTCCGGAACAGTGTGTGCGCTGCGACTTCATTCGCATATTTACACTGTCTGACTCATTCTGTCCCCTATATAGTGCACAGTGTGCCATTCACCTTGTAGAAAATAGTAAACGTGTGAACAAGCGACCGATTTCAGCAGTAGCTTCAGCAACTATTTACAATGTAGGGGGCGGAGCTTCAGACAGAATCTAGAGAGCATTTGATTGGACAGAAAATCTGAGTACAGTGCAGAGGGATGTCTTTTAAATCATTATTGGCAGAAGTGAGAGACTAAGTTTTAAATGCTATACTAAAAGTAAAAAAAAAAAAAAAAAAAAAAAAACGTACATTTTGATTTTTTCGAGAACTATCCCAAACGTTACCTACCGGTAAATGTCGCCAGCCAAAGCCAGCATTTTTTAGCATTTTCACAAAGTTTTCATGTGACATTTCATTCAGTAATTCAATAGGTTATGTCTGTTCATAATTTCCAAACCGTAAGTGGTTGCGAGGGTGATGGTGATGCTAAAATGTTCAGAGAGGCTGTTCATGCATTGCCATGCTGTTGCTAGGGTGCTCTGGTTGGTTGCTATATGGTTACTAACTGGCCAAAACCAAAATGGGATCACTGCCAAGTCTTCATGCTATTCTGGCCTCTAAACAAGTGTGGTTCCCTCTTTCAGTGCAAGGCTATGGGATTTTTTGGCCTGTTTTTATCTGCTACCAGGTGAAGGCATAAATCAAGCCCCACCCACAATTTGACATATAATTTACATCCATAAAACAAATGGTGCAAGATGCGTAAAATATTAGGTTGGGGGTTTATTCAAATCTCCAACAGTTAGCATGAAAAGCAGGATTAGTGATGGAAACTATTATGTTACCAATGTCACAAAAAATGGGAAGCAATTAGGCTTGTAAAAGGTCACTAGTTTTGATTTTAAAAAAAGAGAACCGAGATTTAAACTCAACCACTAACACAGATTAAAGATGAAGGATGAAGAATTAGTACCTTGGCTGTTGTGTAGTCCACTACTTTCTTGGTGGTGAGATCACATTTGTTCCCCACCAGAAGCTTGTTGACATTCTCGCTTGCATAGCGGTCTATTTCCTGTAGCCACTGTTTCACATTGTTATATGATTCCTTTAGAGAGAGCAGGACAGAGAAAACAACTTTATGTGATGATAAAGCAATGTGGTTATTGTTAACTAACTAAATTTAAAAAATATCAATAAGTATTTTAATAGTACATAAATGATACTAAACTAACATTGGTATATTAACACAAGCAGGTCATCAAGTAAGAGAGGTTTTCTGAGGATAACATCAGGACAGCATCAGTACCACAGAAATATGTGCTAAATATCTATGCGATTTGAAAATTTCCATTTTTATAGACGTCAAGACATTATATATTTTCACTAAATGGTTTTTATAATTATGATATATTGCGATATCTATAGAAATCTTGAAAAAAGATCCTCCGGCGTCGAATATGAATGAAACATAAATGACATGTGAGGGTTGAGCTCTCCATAATGCTCACATTGCCCTATTTGGGGTAAAAATTGAAAAAAACACTGCTCTCTAAAAATATTTGTCCGAATTAGCACACGGAAAGCCCTGAGGGATGTAAATATAATAAAACGCAGAAAGGCGTCAGCATTTAACGGTTAATGTAACATTTCCTGTTTCAGGACTAGCAAAATAATGGTAACTCACTCTCAGTACAATGGCTGAGATAACAGAGAGACAGGTTGGTGAACAGTTTGGTATTGTCTCGTTTTGCGCTCACTGTTGATCGGCAAGTCCAGCATACTAGGGTGATTAATGAGTCATTTTCACGAAACCAAAAAAACGACCACACCGGCAAGCCATAACTTTCTTGGAGCGCGGATAGAGCGTCTCATCTGTAATATCCGACGACATGCTTTTACGCGGCAGTAGCGGCTGCACTCTGTGACTGCTTGTGTTTTATGAAAGGTGACAACCAGCCTCAGGGGGCCATACCGACACCTACTGAACGCTGAGAAGTCAACCAGAAACTGCCGCTTGGTCATTTACGTGCCACATTATCATACGTAGGGCCCTATAATTTCCACGATCACGCAATCGCGGACGGAATTGCGGAATTGGCAAATTAACGCGGAATCTAGTGTTAACACGGAATTTAGTGGAATTTCACATATTTGGTTTGAAATTCTGTTTTTGTGTGGGAGAAGAACATGTCTGGTGAAAATGCAGACCGGGGGAAGCAAATCTGGGCGATACAACCCCCCACCCCCTCATTTCAGCTACGATGACGAAATCAAAACAATGAAAGCATGGCAAAGCGGCTCACCATGTCTCTGCTTTCGTCTGCAAAAAAGTTAAGAAACTTAACGCTATAAGCGGTCAGTGCCGAGCAGTTCGCACATGACTTTTATGCAGTGTTTCCCACACATAGACTAATTCGCGGCCACAAAATCAACCCCGGCCAGCCACATAATACGTTTATGCCACATAAAATGCGAGAACTGAGACGAGGACGTTCTCATTCGACTACTTCTTGTTACCGGCTGCTCACCGCTTAGGAGTTTTACCGCCCCCTACCGTATAAGATGATGTGCTGATATAGCTGGAAGCGCAAAACTTTCTGTTTACAAGCAGAGGAAGATGCGCGCTGTACATACGCTTTTGCATTTGCGTATTTTCCGCACTATAAGGTGCACTTAAAAGCCTTTAATCTTCTCAAAAAACGACAGTGTTCCTTATAATCCGGAGCGCCTTATATATGGATCATCATCTTATACAGTAGGTGGCGGTAAAACTCCTAAGCGGTGAGCAGCCGGTAACAAGAAGTAGACGAATGAGAACGTCCTCGTCTCAGTTCTCGCGCATGCGCCTATAAGGAAGTAATGGAATAGTGGAATAAAGTCGTTATTTATGTTTTTTTCGCACAAAAAGTAGTCTCGTCGCTTGATAAACTTATAATTGAGCCGCTGTAGGCACATGGAATATTTAAACCTTTTCTTTAATGACTTTATGGGCCGTCAAGAGGCAGTCCCTTAGCAAGCCTATGGAAGAGTGATCCAGCCCTCAGATTCAATCAAAAATATCTTTATTTGTGTTCCGAAGATGAATGAAGGTCTTACGGGGTTGGAACAGCATGGGGGTGAGTAATTTATGACTTAATTTTCATTTTTGGGTGAACTAACCCTTTAAGGCCTCATTATGCTTTTGCGTCAACTCCACGGCGTAGCTACGTCGTCACCACTACGGCGTCGTGGCCGTTTCATGCTTCTCCGTGAGGTTGTGGTGCATCGCGGTGCATTTCGCCGCCAGAACGCTAGGGGGGTTCGCGAATCTCTTTGGTTCCGTGCGCCGCGAGCGAAAGAGCGAGAAAGTTGTTTTTGCAGCTGCCAGCTGGAGCTAATCGACGTTGAATAACGAGACGACACAAACTTTATCCCCACAGAATCAACACGGATGTCCAGGGCCCGTTCCACCCATAGACAGTAAAATAAAGGTTCCACCCGAGCTGCCATAACGATACCTGTTCGAAATTTTTCAGTCTCCACATGGAACTGTGCTATGCAGGATAATGTGTCCCGTGGCAGACTTGGTTAGTACTGTATTATCAATGATGTAACCGTGAACATTGTATTGAAAAAAAAACAACAAACTGTGTTTCAAAACAAACGTCGATTTATTGATTGATTGAAGTTTATTGCGAGCAAAAAAGAAAGAAAAGAATATAGACATATATATTAACAATGAAATAAAAAAACAGTTTATTTTTCATTTAATTCTTTATTTACTTTCTTTATAAGAGTATTATAATTATCAGAACGAGGGTGCAAATGTTAAAAATAGCGCTAATAGCGGGAGGGGGAAATCGGAAAAGCTACACTCCTGAATTGATGTATAATCTGACCAATCAAAGCCCTTGCTGTCTGGCTTACAAATTTTTGGAGGTGCACGTCGAGCTACGGCGGAGGGGTCGGAGAGGGGTTCGCGTCGACGGATAGGGGTCTGCGGGGGTACGCCGTCGATTCGACGCAGAAGCATAAAACAGGCTTTAGTCACGCGTCTCTCTCACATACACGTACGTCTAAGGCGTGAGCTACACTGGACGAGAGAGAGACAGAGTGTGACTTTATTAAACTTATATAAAATATCATTTATTTTACTGGACAGTTTAAAGCTCATAACCATAATTTGTTGTTACATGAAGAGTGCAGTGTTATGTTGCATCATGCAGTATTTGTCCTGAAAAGGCTACTGAGTAAATGTCTATTACCTCAATAAATTTCAGGTCATTCCTGTTTTATTTGTATCCATTTTTTAATCATTAACTTTAAAAGCACACTCTTTTTACAACTAAAATAACAGTAAAAAAAAAAGAAGAAGAATTTCGCAAAATTAAAATGGAAAAAACAGAATTTGGAATAGATTAAAACGGATTTCATAGGGCCCTACATACGTGTACTCTTCATTTGAAATATTACGGTAATCGCCAATACCGGTATTTTTGCCTCTGGCTTGCTTAGTTGGGGACATTTAATATTCAACAATATTATTGATCTGACTGTACTGACGCTGCTGTGTGAGAACTAAACTGAGCTGGATGATGACAAAGCTAAATAGAGATATTTTCATTTTTTTAAATATCACAGTTATCGTCAATACCGGTATATCACAACACCATTATTATTGATTTTTTTGCAAAGTGTGCCTTGTTAAATTTGGGACAAATAAGGAGGGAGAACATCTGATGAAGTCTCACCTGATCCGTGACATCATAAACCACAATGATACCGTGAGCCCCTCGATAGTAACTGGAGGTGATGGTTCGAAATCGTTCTTGCCCTGCAGTGTCCCACTATGAGAGAGAGAGAAAGAAAAAAACTAATTAAAGAAGATCATTTATAGTAATGTCAAACCATGCATGTTTCTATTCAAGCATTTGTCCCCATTTTCACATGTACAGTGTCTAGATTTGTCTATTGTTAATGTACTGGTGTGCATACTAGTGACTGTCATGCTGTTGCAGGACTTGACAAATTCAGTGTGTAATTTATGGACTTACAATCTGTAGCTTAATGGTTTTGCCATCAAGTTCAATCGTGCGGATTTTGAAATCCACGCCTATGGTGCTGATGTAGCTCTCAGTGTATGTGTCATCCTGCAGGATCAAAACACACAAAAAGGAGAATGAAAACTTATCCGTTTACATTTGTGGATATAAATGATCTACTATAAACACATTCAGTCAATTCTATGACGTCCATTGATCTTTTATCTTGATGTTTGGCAGCAAAATCTGACAAGACAAGCCATCTGTGCCTTTACTCACAGCAAATCTCAACAGAAGACATGACTTTCCAACTCCAGAGTCGCCGATGAGGAGCAGTTTGAAAAGGTAGTCGCTAAAATGGAGAAACACAATAGCAATTTATTAACATACATCAACAGGAATGTATATAATTTCAGTTTCAGAACAAAATTAACCTTCTTATGACATTCACCGGTCAGTTATCACATTATAGACCTTATTCACATCAGCGCCATCTTTGATTTGAAACGGGAATGAAAGCGAGGCTGTGAGGGATAGACATCTCTTCAGTGGGTTGTACTGGTATTTCATGAGTTTTTGGATTGTTCTGGAGATGAAATATCTTTACGAGACATTTCAGTAGAGCAAAAATCCCAGACAACATGAGGTGTGGAAAATTATCATGCCATGGCGCTGCTCTGAAGAAGGTCTAAAAATATGTCCTGTTTTATTGGATCTCTAGAGTAGTGTTATTTTAGCATTATTTTACTATTATAAGATTTGTTGATATTTTGATTTTTTGATTTGATTATTTTAACTTTGTTATGCTTTTTTATTTGTATATATTTCTATTTAGTTTTAATTTATTTTTATTTACTGTAAAACAACTTATTTCAGCTAACTCTTTTTCAACTCTAATTTGTTTACATTGTGTAAATGAACATTTCTTTCATTAAATTTTAATACTTTTTACTGTTTCAGTTAATTTGGTTCCAGACAATTCTAATTTGTTTACGTTATATACATTATGTTTTTTCAGCTTCATTTCAATTATGAAAAACAATTCATAATACTTTTATTTTTCATTATCAATGACAGCAATGCTACAGTAGTTCCATTACTGATGATAGCCTAATTATACATGACAAATCTAACAGGTTGTTTAGCTCGTGAACATTAAACTAATGCTCTTCTTGCACACACACACCTTAAGACCAACAGCAAATATGTTTGTATTGTCAAGAGTTCTGTGTGTAAACGGACTTTTAGGAATGGAGTTAGTCCTGTTATGTTAAAATATTAACGACACTACATCTCATAGTACTTGAATAATCATATAGTAGCACACCACATCTGGCCCTCAACTGATATAATAAATATATGCCATTAGCATTGCTATAATGTTAACTGGTTTGAAAAGACTATTTGCAAGTTGCAAAATCAACTGCCATTTCCAAGAACTGACTGTGAAGAAGGTTCAAAACAAAATCAGCATAAACAAAGTATCCCCTGCCACCAGCTCAAAATACAGCTGAGAGAATCTAATTCCAACGATGACAGTCTGTCGCAATGGTTTCTGAGTGCAAGTACTAACATTAGACGAGCTGAGAAACGTTTTGTCATGTGAAGCAATCTTGACTGAGTCTATGTCAAGAGGAAAACAAGGTAAAAACAATAAGAAAACATTAATCTCAGACAAGAAAACACAATTTTATTGTTTTAACGATTGAATTTTAAAGCAAGCACTCTGACAATAAAAAAACTGGATATAGTAGTGGGTTTTCAAATGTCAAAGGCTGGTGATGAACCAGATATATTTTGATATAGGCTAATACAATTTAAAAATAGACTTTTACAAATTATGGCAACTGGAATGTGCTTATTAACATTGTAAATCTATTAAATTTGCAATTCATAATACAGAAAGGAAGTGAAATTGTTTGAAAATCCTGACAGGGTCTGACAGAACAACATCGGCTCAACCAATGGCAGGAGCTTGAGGCGGGGACTATCTGTTCAACTGACCAATGGCAACATGTTTGTGGTCTTTGTTGCCAGTGAATTAGCATTTGAAATAGTGCTGATAGATATAGAGAGCAAGCAATAAATTTCATTTTTTCCATCACTGGGTAGTGGGTATCCATGCAATATTCATAATTAACTTCCCTTCAAGTGATAACACGTCTTCATTTATACAGACCAATAAAGCTGACCACATGCTACTAAGAAATCAGGAAAAACACTAGGCTTCTCCTCTTCGTGACCTCGTCCAGCTGTAATGCTGACATTCAATTCACAGGCCTAGTGAAAAACACATGACTCTTGAATGCCTCACAAGCTCGAGTTGTGAATGGTTCAAAGCACCGTGTGCATAATTAGGCGATATGCAATATTGACAGCTGGATTCAGCCTCACTACAAACTAATGACGTCACTCAGTCGCAACACACCACACCAAAAATTACGTCACGCAGTACGGCAAATGCAGAAATTACGTGCTATAAACCCCAAATAGCGACGGGTTTTAATTTAAGACGTTTAATAACGAACAATATCATCATTTAGAGTAGGAAACTTTCTAAATAGAGGCTTTAAATGAGTAAATATCCTCTGAATTCGCAGTTAAAACACCGGACGTTGTTAGCCGTTAAGGCTAGACAAAGCTACACGCACTGACGCTTCATGTTATACAAACACTGACATCCGCAACACAAGTCCAGGCGTCTAATACTCACTATTCTGGATTCATGGTGTGTTTTTGTCGTTGTCGTTGTGTTCAGCAGGAGATCGGACTCTTTTCTCTGCGAGCAGACGCGATAATGATGAAGAGGATGACTTGTACGTCTGGAATACCGAGAAACTGGGGCCGCTTTCTCTGATTTACCCCCTCCAATCACACCTCGACACTGTCTTCTCGTTTGATTCAGTCACTTGACGGACATTACTGGCCATATAACGCAAAACACTGTTATTTTGTTCTGCTTTCTTCCTTCCTTCCGATCTGCCCCTCGCTCGAAGTACAAGATGGCTGCGCAGGTGCGGCAGTGACATCAGATGACGTGGCATTACGGACTGATCTCGAAGACACATCCCAGAGATTCAAGATATTCTGGAAATAGGCCTATTTCAACTTGGATAAAAAAAAATTGTATACCACACTTGGTACCTTTGTGCTCAAAAGTGACGGAAGCATTAAAATGTAACTTTTTTATCTCCAGGAAAATCAATGCAATATATTTTTGTTCAATAATATTTTTTGATTATTATTTAGAATTTTGAGGGGATTTTATAATGCTATGCAATATTTATATAAAAAATCATTAAAATTGTTTTTAAAAAATGAATTGTTGATTTTATTACTCTGTTACAATAGAGTCTGCTCTGTCTATTTTGCATGCAAAATGTTTTGGAGATTAACCCCTTCGTTGCTGTGTGTGTTTGTTTTGTTTTGTTTTTTGTATCATGGTTGATTAATAGTTTGTACCACTGTAGTTTTTGTATTTTTTCGTATTTCTCATTAATTTCTACCTCGAATGTACCAAGTGTAACATTTATTTATTTATTTATTTAGGCTACATATTTATTTCCTAATCGTATCCATGTGTTCATACATATCTTATGCAACAAAAGTCACTATGTGCCATCCCATTCCGATGAAGCAAAACAAAAAATCCATTAATTTCCAATGTCGGCTATTTTTTAAGCAAAATGTTACTTTATTCACAATTCTCCACACAATTCTGAATCGACAACTAAAACAACTAATCAAAATAACATGTAGGCCTAATTTACTAGGCTTGATGAAATCTTAACTGTTGCAATCTATTTGAAAATCTATTAATACATTTTTTAATATGCTGATTCAATGACTCGCTGATGAAGACTTCATAAATGGTTTCATTATGGATGAATCAGTGATTTTGAACGAATCTCTACATTTGTTCATAAGTCTTGTCGCCACCTACTGGTCTAACGATATAAACAAACTTTATTCGAAGAACCAAGTTACTGTCAAAAGATGATTTATTTCCATTTATCCCCATTTCTTTTCTCAACATCAGTGTTTATATCTAAACTACAACCTTTTACCCCACTATTTCTGTGATCATTTGAATTATTGTAAGATCGTAGTAGTGATGATACAGTGTGTTTGAATAGACTGTTTGTGAAGTTGTCTCATAAGACAACTGCTCTCTCAGGTTCAACAGCAGCGACATAGATCTCAATGTTCACTGTCATGTGTCATCGTACTTGTCAACAACAAAAAAATCATTTTAATTTTCTTTAAAGTGACTTAAATTTTCCTGAGCTGTTTAATTTGTGATGGCTGGCATTTTCCAAACCTTTCAACATTTGGTATCTTTTGATATACAAATCACAAAAATACAACATTTACAGTGTAATAAAAATATGAATCACAATGAACTAAAAACAGTTCTTTCGTTTCCTTCTAGCAATGGAAATGATGTAGTTTTATAAGGAAAGTTTTATGTCATTAGAAGAACTAAAATCTCACCATAATACTTTAATATAGCCTAGTGTGGATCACACACACTTTGATTGCCCCGCAGACATCCCTCCTCATCCAGGGACACACAGCCACCAACAGGTGTATGTTACACCTCAGTCTCGCGAGCCTTTGTGCTGTCCTGGTGACCGCTGGCCTCCTCCAGCCCCAGGCTGATGTAGTGGGACTCCCTGCAGGCCTCCAGGGGTGGAAGAGCAGACAGAAGCGCTTTGAGGCTCTGGCCCAGCTCTCCAAAACCTGGCCTCTGAGAGGGATCTCTGTGCCAGCAGCTCAACATAACCTCATATCTGACAGAGAAAGAGTCAAAGGAAAAATGTAGAGAAAAAGAAATCACAAAAAGCACTACAAGACTGAATCATCTTCCAGATCTGCAGTTTGAAAATGACTCTTGCCATTTATGTTTCTACACCATTAGCCTAGATTTAGTAATCAGCTTCATATGCACATACAGTATCTGCTGTGACGAAGGATTCCTAACAGACCTAAACTTAAAGGAGTAGTTCACTTTTAAAAGACTTTTGCTGATAATTTACTCAACCACATGTCATCCAAGATGTTCATGTCTTTCTTTCTTCAGTCGAAAAGAAATTAAGGTTTTTGATTAAAACATTCCAGGATTTTCTCCATATAATGGACTTCAAAACGGTTCAAGGTCCAAAAGACAGTTTCAGTGCAAACTACAAACTGTTCAAAGGGCTTTAAACGACACCAGGCGATGCTTGAAGCTGCACTGAAACTGTCTTTTGGACCTTGAACCTTTTGGTTCCCATTGAAGTCCATTATATGAAGAAAATCCTGGAATGTTTTCATCAAAAACCTTAATTTCTTTTCGACTGAAGAAAGAAAGACGTGGACATCTTGGATGACATGGTGAGCAAATTATCAGCAAAAGTTTTTTTTTTTAAAGTGAACTACTCCTTTAATAACCTTGATTTCATTGTTAGTCTTGCAACAGACAATTGTTTGTAAAGACTTATTCACAGTTTCCTGATAAACAGAGTAGTCTAATAATCGATTTTGTTTCCCGCAATAAAATAGGCAAATTTCTTACAATTTGTTGTCAATGTCCCCTTGTGTGAGACGGTGTCCTTTCTCCAGGAAGTCCAGGAGCTCATAACTGGAGACACCTGGATAAGGCGTCTTCCCCCTGGATGTGATCTCCCACATGGTTATTCCGAAAGACCACTGTGAGACATAAGGAAGATCACAGTTGATAAAAATGCTTGAAGGATGAATCTCACAAAAAAAACATGTCCGGGTCATATTTTCCCCACAAAAAAAAAAAAAAAAAAAAAGGACCCTTTCCGCCCAAATAGGTCATTTTTCTTGAAAAAAAAAAGGACCCTTTCCGCCCAAATAGGTCATTTTTCTTGAAAAAAAAAAGTTTGTTAATGTTGTAAAATGTTTTGTTATATATACAGTATATAAAATATGTATGTATATATATATATATATATATATATATAAATTGCATTAATCTGCTCAGTGTTTAATATTCAAAATATAATTTCTGTGTACCCCATGTTCTTGAAGGGTTTTGTGAGATTCACCAGTGGTGAATTTCATATAAAATAAAAGTACCTATTTATCTTATTTTTACAATAAAAGAAAGAAAGAAAGAAAGAAAGAAAGAAAGAAAGAAAGAAAGAAAAAAGGAAAGACTTTGTGTCATCAATAGTATTACACAAACTATACGTGTGAGTGTTGAAAAGTAATGTATTGAAGGGGCTACATCTTTATGTAAGAGTTTTCAAGTATTAATCGCTTTCTTACTGACAGCTAGTAACAAAACGTAAAAAACGAGAGCCTGTCTATGAAAGACTCTAGACTGATTTTTATGTGAAAGACTCGTGACGTTTTTGCTGGTAAAATCAGATGTGACGTCTGCACTTAAGAACATCTCTTCCATTCTGACACATGAAATGAATTAGGTTTACAATGTTAATGTTAATGTCGAAAGAGCTATTCTGTACTGTAATGTCAATTTGTCATGCAAAGAAAAGGGATTCAAAACTATAGTTCCACATAGTCAGATCTATATGTCAATAGTCTCAAATATATTTTAGAATCAAATTATCAAAACAGTGTCATTTTAATTAGAAAACTTCATCTGCTGACATGATGCCGGTAAATTGCAGTGCTTGTGCTAACATATCCACATCACTATGATCAGATGCTTTCTCATTTGCTGTTTTCTCACCGCTGTCTTTTTTGTTGTGTTTATATTGTTATTGAGGACAATTACAGCACAAATTACAAATTCATCTAAACGTAGCTCTCAGCAGGACGGCATCGGGTTGTCCGTTAACAGTATGTCGCTGGAAAGGTATTTTCGACTTCTTTCATTTTACTTATAAGCTAAGAACGAAAAAGAACTTCGCCGCGAATATATCGGGGCCTTGAATCTTGTGGCTGCAGTTCCCTTGACGCCCACCGGTGTCGCTATTAGCAAGGGTTCTACACACAGTTATAGCCATAGATTTACATAATAATGGCTAGATGTCTCTTTCGCGCTAATGGCCAATGGAGGTTGACGTCAGCACCTGGCGGCCATCTTATCACAGGCAGCTTGCTCACTCGTAACATTGTGTTTTTAATGGTGCATTTACTTTTTAAATAACCATAACTTGACGATTTTCAAACGATTTGGTTTGTTGTAAATGTCAGAGATGTAGTTATGACACTGCACACTTATGAATAATAAGTGTATCAATAAATAATCAACCAGAATTAAAGCCATGTTAATAACGTTTTTAAGAAACCAAACCATCAAGATTTCAACGAGATGAGTGTATTTGTGTTCGTGCTGATCACTCATCTTCCATCAGGTACCACAGAGCCCGCCAGAAAGTGTGCCTGTGAGAAGATGGCCGCCGGTGATGACGATAGAGACTCCGCCGTAAGACATCAAGCCTTTATTATGGATATCTATGGTTATAGCCCCTTTAATACTGTATTGGATGAGTAAATAGGACTGACCACATCACTCTTGGTGGTGAACATGTTGTCTGACAGGCTCTCTATTGCCATCCACCTTACAGGCAATTTAATGGACCAGTTCTTATGCCTATAGTAGTTACTGGAATAGATCTGCTTAGACAGGCCAAAGTCTGCCACACACACACGCAGGTCATCCCCCAACCTGTAAAAAGAGATTTTGGGAAACAAGGGATTTTGTTCATTAGGCGTGGCTTCTCAAAGACAAGGATGTTGTTGTTGTAAAACATGCTCTGTGTTTCCCTCCTGTGGACTCACATGCAATTGCGGGCAGCCAGATCTCTGTGTAAGAAACCCTGAAGGCTGAGATACTCCATTCCTGCAGCAATGTCAATCATAAAATGCAGAAGTCTCTGATAAGGCAAACACTGCAGAGAAGAGGAACATATATGATCAGATTTGTGGTTATTTTACCGCTAACACTTAAACTTAAAGTCAAAAAGTCCATAAGATGGTGTTGTGAATGAATATTTCTCGGTATACGAAACTCACTATGGGAACATCTCCATAGCGGGTTGCTTTGAGGAAGCTGTGTAGGTCTCTGTGTTTCATGAATGGGAGAATAACAAGCGGTACAATGATGGAGGACTCTGGATCTCGCTCTAGTGCAACCCCTGTTGGACGCAAGTATAAAATAGCCTCATAAAATCTGTTCATCTATAGAGAAACTCCATGATGAACCTAATAACGATAATACTGTCTTATCCACCTTATTTTGCAACGTGAAAGTAAGCTACTTTCTGTGAATGTCCACGACTTCATATTCATTAGCCGCTAAATCATAGATATGTACTTAATGAGCGATCGTTTCGCTAGATAAGACCCTTATTCATCGTCTGGAATCGTTTAAAGCCCTTTGAACAGTTTGCACTGAAACTGTCTTTTGGACCTTGAACCGTTTGGTTCCCATTGAAGTCCATTATATGGAGAAAAATCCTGGAATGTTTTCATCAAAAACCTTAATTTCTTTTCGACTGAAGAAAGAATGACATGGACATCTTGGATGGGGGTGAGTAAATTATCAGCAAAGTTTTTTTTTTTTTTTTTAAAAAGTGAACTACTCCTTTAATATGTGAGCCTAGTGTTATATATGAGCTAGTGTGCTAGCTTATAAGGTGAAAGATGGATACTGTACATGTACAGTAAATCTAGCTCAATCCCTCCTAGTCAAAAATGACCTTGACTGGCTGCTGATTATCACAGTATTGGAAAGATGCCAATTTCATTATTACACATTAGCGTTTCCATGATCCATTTAACTCATACAATGATACAATTATATAATTAGTTGATATAATTCAGCAGGTCAAAGACACACAGGAGGTAAAAGTCAACCGAACCCCACTGTTACTGTGCAGCTACGGGCAGGGGAACTGGAAGTTCACACTTGGACAGACCCACAGAAGACCAGTTGCCATGGAAACGGCTGTGCCATTTGAAATCAGGTTACTCCAGCTAGACATAAATTATACATTTTAGCCTAGATACTAAACAGTAAATAACGTAATTCAACAGAGACAATGACATACCAAGCAATTTTACGACATTCACATGATCAAAATGCTTCATGATTTCTGCCTCCTTGAGGAAGGACTCCAGATCTTCTTTACTGTAGATGGCTTCTACAATTAAACAGGGAATGCATGAAAGAGGTTGATTTAATAACTGTGTAAACAACATTGTCTCAAGCTAGTGATTCATTCTAAATAAAGAGTCACTTTATAGATTATGACGTCACTTTTTAGGACAACTCGGAAGTTAGCGGCGCATGGGTTCCCGATCGAAAAGCTATGCATTTTTCCCATAGACTTTTGGAAAATCGCACAAAATAAGATCTGTATTTAACAACCCACCCAGCAAAAACTCGTTGAAAAGACGTTGAAAAGACGACATTGCTAGACGTCTAAACTACGTTAAAATTTGGTTGAAAAGTGAAAGGTGAAAAGCCGTCTTTTTCAGGTCGTTGAAAAGACGTCTTTTTCGGGTCGTTGAAAAGACGTCTTTTTCTGGTAGTTGTAGTCTATAAAAGGACGTCCCATTCACGTTTAAATTAGGTTGTAAAGTGAAAGTTGAAAAGACGTCTTTTTTTAGGCATAATTTTCATGGATTCATGATTATATTTAATATTCCTAATTACTGTCAAAATAAGACAATTCACAAAAGTTTATCAAAACATTTATTGACACATAAAATACATCTTTCAAGTAAAAACTTCCCTGATCACACATCAAGCCCACATTTGATCAAATATAGCCTAAACACTGCAATATTGTGAAATATTACCACAATAAAAATAACTTCTCTATAAATTTATAAATAAATATACATATAAATATATAATAAAGTGTCATTTATTCCTGTGATGGCCAAGCTGAATTTTCAGCATCATTACTTCAGTCTTCAGTGCCACAAGATCATTCAGAAATCCTTCTAATATGGTGATTTGATTCTCAAGAAACATTTATGATTAGTAGTACTGCTTCATGTTTTTTTTTGGAAAATGATTCAGCTTTCAGTATTCTTTGAAAATAACTTTCAAAAGAGCAGCATTTATTTGAAACAATTTTTCAAAAACAATTTAAAAGACTTTAACTGTGACTTGATCAAATGAATCCATCTTTTCTGTATAAACATCATTTTATCATTTATTGATAAACATCAAAACAATAAATCTTTAAAACATTGAAAATGTTTATAAAACAGACTAATTATAACCACATTAGAAAACATTAAAGGTATAGTTTACACAAAAATGTAATTGTCATTAATTACTTACTCTCATGTCGCTCCAAACCCATAAGACTTTTGAATATATTTTTAACAGATGCCTTGTGTGTGCAAAAAACAAAACAAAATTATGTATCGCCGACACAGGTTGCACCATGAGATGACTGACTCTCACGCCAACACAACACTGATGAATCGTGGTGCTCTGTGAACACGTGTTCAGCATTCACATCGCTTCATAATGTTGAGGTTAAACCATTGGAGAGAAAGTTATCATGAGCATTGTAATGTTTGAAACGGATGTCATAACAAATGTCAGTAGAACGGGATGATTTTAAAACAAGTGGTTCATTAATTAATCCGTACGATTTTAATAGAGTGTTTTCACTACACGTCATCAATCCGGAAGTCGGTCATTTTGGAGGCACTGAACGTAAACAATGCCACTGAACTGAACAGACTTGCATATTTGGCTGATTATTGCTGCTGAAAAATGGTCGTGTTTTGGTCTGTACTAATAGGTCACACCGGGAAAAAAAACATTTCAAGTTCTATAGACTGCCTAAAGTTAAAGAGAAGAGTGCAAAAAATGGATGAAAGAAAGTGTTTGTGATGAAGGTGTTTGTAGTTGAGAGGCAAAGCATCAGCCACATGTGTAAATGAAGCGTTGACTATGGCTAAAATGTTAAAGTAAAGTAGTTAACTATGGCTACATTCACACGGTCAGTCCAAATCTGATGTATCTTTGTATCCGATTGGGATCTGATCTAAAATGATGTCTACACTATGTATCGCAACTGTTCAGATCCGAGTCGTGTGTTCATGCAGCTCTTTGGAAATATGGCAATGACATTGCGTTGATGGAGGGGTTTGCATTTGCAATAGAGATGTTGTCTTATTTAAATTTTACAACATGGAAATGTGTAGCCGCCGTGCTGGACTGGTGTTTTGAGCTGCAGAACTAGAGGAGGCTGGTGTGCACAGCTTTTTTCCGTGCTCGTATCTGCGCCGGTTTCAAATATAAAGCGCTTGTCCGGCACTTTGCAACAACACAGCCTTGTTTCGGCAGCGACTTTTAGCATGTTCCCTATTACAATGTCTGACTTTAAAATTTGCGTGGCGTGAGAAAGTCACATACCACGCGAAATCTGATCAGAGCGTTCGGACTGAAGCAGATTTCCAGATATGTGATTTAATAGGATTGTGGACATATGGATGTAGCTTGAAACGGATTTCATGTGCTTTTTTTGGACTGACAATCTGAACGTAGCCTATGTGGGATAAGAAATAGAAGGATGAATAGCAGTAAGGGCTAGAGAAACTAGCTCGTTCAGATCTTTACCAGATATTAACTTTAGTTCGTCAAAAATCCACGCTCTTTCCTGCTTACTAAGTCTAGCCTATATGATTTTGCAGCTTCCATGTGTTTTTTTCGTAGTTAAGACATCATAAATTAGTGTAACAATGTGTTCAGTAGTACATAAACAGTGCAATCAATGCTGTTGTTTACATCCGAGTATCTCGAATATAGCCGCGCATCCGGGTAACTGGCCAAATCGTGACGTGGGTGCAAACCCTCTATTGATATTTTTATAATGTCTTACGTTTCTGAAGCTTGAAAGTGGTAGTTGCATAAACTGTGAAATTGAGGGACAGAAACCTCTCAGATTTCATTAAAAATATCTTTCAAAGATGAACGAAAGTCTTACAGGTTTGCAACGACATGAAGGTGAGTGACGAACATTTTTGGTTAAATTCTACACATTAAATCAGTTCCCTCAGAGGCACCAACAGATATCTTCCTGATCTCCGATCTTCTGGTTCTTCTGCTCCTTCCACCATCCCAACCCCGGATTATTAAGCCACGACTTAAGTTTTTACTTGAAATGCTTTAGCCTGGTGAGAAAGAAAACAATAACCAAAATGTACATTTAAAAAAACAAAAAAAACAATGGCTGTCCGAAACGTAAAGTATACACTTGAGTTTTTCCTATACATATACGTGCAAGATTTCAGTCACAGATAAATTGTAAATGTTTGCTTGATCAGACATTACATGTTTATGCTGAAATATAAATATTGGTTTTTGTTTTAAAATCATCTAGTTCTAGTAATCAGGGTAGTTCACTTTGAAATTAATTTTTGGTATGTTTTAGCCTACCTCAAGTGCATCCAAGATGTAGGTGTCTTTGTTTCCGCAGTAGTTTCAATTTTTATATTTTTAGGTCATTTTTAGTTGCAGGTCTATGGTCACCACCTAATAGAGCATGCACAGAGAAGTCCAAATTAAACATGATTTAATGACTCGTATATGTACACATTGATGGCCTAAGACACGAAACGAGCAGATTGTGAGAAAACGAACAGTATTTATATCATTTTTACCTCTTGTAACCACAGCCACGTCCAAGTGATGTGAAGGCGCAGGCTCTTCGGTCTGCGCAAGCGCCGGAAAGCGCCGAAAGTGATCTCTAATTGTTTACACAGAGATTTCGGAAGTGTTACCTTTCACTGTGAAGATCTATTTAGATATAGAGGAAATCGCAATGGAAGACGATTTCGATATATCAACAGACAACGTTGAATAAGTACCATTTCAATTAGCCGTCTTACCTACAATCTCTGTTCTGTGTTTAACAATGAGTGACGTACACGTGCGAGAGAGATCACTTCCGGCACTTTCCCGACACTTTCGCAGACCGAAGAGCCCACGCCCTCAGATCACTTGGACGTGGCTGTGGTTACAGATAAAAACGATATAAATACTTTTCATTTTCTCACACAAACCGCTCGTTTCGTGTCTTCAAGCCATCAATGTGTACTTAATTTACGAGTCATTAAATCATGTTTAATTTGGACTTCTCTGTGCATGCTCTTTGAGGTGGTGACCAGAGACCTGCATTATATGCCTGACCGACAAGAACGGTTTGACCTAAAAAAAATCGAAATTGAAAATACTGTGGAAACAAAGACACCTAGGCTACATCTTGGATGCCCTTGAGATAAGCTAAAACATACCAAAAATGTATTTAAAAAATGAACAATCCCTTTAACCACTGACTACTGAGCTAGGGACCTGAGTGATAAGCACCCAGAGTTTAACACCTTGATTAGCTTGTTCAGGTGTGCTGGACTAGGTTAGAGGAAAACTTTGTTCTGAACATGACACATCAGAGATGCAGGATGACTGCTAGATTGATGACTTACAACAGTGGCATCCAGACCAGACCAGGGCCAGTGTTCTGCAGAGTTTCTGGTGATGTTTAGTCAGCTGCTCAGGTCTGATTAATTGGGGTTGGAGCTAACAATACTGAAAAGAGAAAGAAGACAACTGATATTATTAAGTTACATTATAAATAATTGGGGTTGGAGCTAACAATACTGAAAAGAGAAAGACACCAATATTATTACGTTATAAATAATTTGTTCTGTGTGTTCATTACCTGTACAAAGAATACGTCATCAATAAACTGTATTAATAACACTGTTTTGACGATTAGCTAGCTTAATTCCATTCATCCATTGACCAATTGCCAACAAAACCTTTACAAAACTATCAAAATAAATATCTAATCTACACATACAGTAAGATACGATTAAAAGCCCAAACTTACTGCTCAAGTCTAACGTTATAGTTAACCTAACTTACCTATAGTTAGCCTAACAGTTGAGATGCTAACGGACTTTTTCTAAGACACTAACCAAGCAAATATTCAACGGAAGTGAGTCTTTTACATAAAAGAAATTGTCGGAAACATTTTTATGTACTATTTGTGTAATTTTAGGGACTAAACTTACCTGAAAGTAGTGAAAACAACAGCGAGAGATGGAGCTGTGCTGATCGTTGTCAGTTGAGCTACCGCCCGGTTTCCATGGTAACGTTGTCTGCTCCAGTTCAAATGCGGCTCGAATGTTCAGCGCGTGCGCCCATTGATTAAAACACGCAGAGTTACGCAGCATTGAGATGGAGTGAATTATTTGACAATCAGCTGAAACTTGATGCATTATTAAGTCGATAGTAGGCCTGTGGCCATCGTCAAACTATAAAACAATGTTTTAAGTCATGTAGGCTAATAGTCTAATAATATAATATAGCTTTAAAAAATGGTAAACGTGCTGTAGATTGTTTTTTTTTTTTTTTTTTTTGCAAAAACATTGATTAAAACCTACATAAGGCATGCACATATTTCCTCATATAGCCTACACAGATTACAGATGAAACATGAGGAACAATTATAAACTATTCTATGTATTTTTTAAATACATTCAAGTCCGCAGGCCAAGCGTTCTCATCTGATTTTTTGTACACAGCCTTTATTATGATTTTAGGCCTATCATAACGATTAATAAATGCACGCACAATTATCCGTGAACTTGATAAATGTTGCAGATATGTTTTACTATGCACAAAAAATGCCTTTCAACTTACCACAACTCAGCATGTCTCAAAGACATGAGACATATCTATAGAGAGCTGGAAATATCTTTAAACAAAACAATTCAAAACGAAAAGAAATAGGTACTCTCTGATTATGTAATCATTTTGTGCATTTCTCTCTCAAGGCGCGTTCGCTGCGGAGATGGAGATCTTCAACTTCATCTTTTGCAGCGGACACAGAAAACAGTTTATTAATAAAAATAAAATGCAATAAAAATCAATGCACGCGTGTCACCGGATTTACAAATGCACATCTTGCTTGTTGCACGCACACATATTATGTCGAAATAACAAGATATTGTGTGGAAATTACATTATTATTAATAGGCTACATAAGAATATTTGATTGAATGTTGAATGTTGTGCTTATTTTAATTTAAATTAAAACCTGAATTGTGATAATTACAATAATTGAATATGATATATTGAGTGGCTAAGTTTTGCTCATTTATTAAAAGTAGCCTTTTTATATAATTGTGAAGCTCCCCTGTCAATGATAGCACCCCTTCAGCACCTGTTAAAAATGATCTGGCGCTGCCCTCAGACGGACCAAACAAAGGAGGCTACATTTTTCAAAGTCTTTTGGGCTAAATTTGGACCAAACCAAACGGACCAAATAGAGACCAGTTTTCAACGTCTATTTTCGGGCTAAATTTTGACCAAATCAGACGGACCAAACAAAGACCAATTTTCAACGTCTATGTTTGGGCTAAATTTGGACCAAATCGGACGGACCAAACAAAGCCCAATTTTCAACGTCTATTTTTGGGCTAAATGAAGGCTATGACGGGCCGACTTGATTTAGCCCAAAAAACAACGTCTTAATGACGTCTGGTGCTGGGTGGGAAAGAGTTGTGACCCTTACACGTTTTGTCCATCAAGATGACCTTTACAAGTTACAAGCCGATATAAAGTTTAAAAACCACAAGCAGACACAATAAAGTTTAAAAAAACACAAGCAGGTTATAACTATGTTTTATGTCGTATATCATAACGTGAAAATATTTAGAGGCTTATCACAGACCTTATTTCAGGCGATTTAGCAAAAATCCATTCAAAAAATCCCATAGGGTAGATTTAAGGGCAAGGGAACCAGGAGTGCTAAAATGCTAACTAAGCGTTTTGGCTAACAAAGAGACGTCATAACTTCGGCACTCTATACTTTGTAATGTATTATCAGAAATGTTCACTATCACTTGCTCTCTGCACTATTTACACACACACCTTTTGAGGTTTTCACAGCCACTCTGATATCTAGTCCTTTTTGAGGGGAAAATATGCCTTCATAAACGGCCCCAAATTCTCCTGCAGATAGAGAAACTCCAGTATGAGAGTCTAAAATTCATTTGCAGACTGAAAGATGACACTCAAACAGTTTCCAATTGACTTGTTCCTTAAATGTGAACTTTATGCAACTTAAAATTAAAAAAAACTTTTAAAGTTAACAAATATATTAAATATTAAAGTTATAACAAATATTTGACTTTTTTTATAACTTGTGTGAATGTATATGTGGAAGTGTAGTAGGCCTACTACCAATCAAAAGTTTGGGACAGTTAGGACTTTTTTTTTTTTTTCTTTTTTTTTTGGCGTCATTTATGATTTCAGATACAGTAGTGGCTAAAATTGATGTCTGGAGGGGATTGGTTTGTGGATTTGTTTTTAATGACCCTACAAGTTTGAATAAACCATCAAAATAGAGGAAAATATTTTGTATGTGTTCAGAATTCCTTTGACAGCCTGGCCAAAAACATGGCATGTTCCACTGCATTATCACACTCTTAGAATAATGGTTCTATTTAGAACCAGAAATGGTTCCATCCCCCACTTCATATATGGAACTCCAAAATGGTTCTATAGAACCATTTTTTGGTAAAAGGTTCTATTGGCCAAGTATGGAACCCCAGGGTTCTATATAGAACCCAGAGGAACCCTTTTTTTAAGAGTGTATAGAACCTTTTAAGGGTTCCAAATACGTAGCACTGATAGAACCTTTTAAGGACCTTTTAAGGTTCTATATAGAACCTTTTCTTTTAAGAAATTATAGAAAAATGACTATACGCATTAAAACTATAACCAGGCATTAAGCTTACAATCTTAAACGTAAAAATCACTTTAATCGTTTCAATAAAGGGTAAAGATGTCAATTTTCCTATGCCGGACATAAAGTTCTGGCCACTACTGTATGTGTAATGCTGCTAACAAGAGACCTATAGGCAAATTTAAGTCAGTTTACACCTTTCCCAAGTATTCGACACATCGTCAGCTTTGTGCGTTCCACCAGCACATCTCGAAGACCACACAGCATATCACTCATTCCTTCCAGCATCTGAACCGAGCCTGACACTGTCCGACAGAGACACAGGAGAAAATGAAGCGTGTAGGATGAGAATAATGTCTGCGGGTTAATAAACCAATTATCTAAAATATGACAGGTATACCTAAACCAAGATCCCAAAGCCTGTATTCTCACCAAAGTATAGATTATACTCTTAAGAGGTTAGGTTTAAAACTATTTCACAATTGTATTTTTGTTGTTATCGTTACAGTTCGCATCCTTGATGTGAACAGGCCTTTAGTGTGTGAAAACTACGTAAACATTTCATGACATTTCAACTATTTAAATAAACATGAAATAATGTTAAAGTTCTTCTGGTCCCTTGGTTAGAGATGTTTTCTAAATATGCTGAGTATAAATTAAGTATTTTCAACCCGATCTCACGGCAATTCGTACGAATTTTACAAGGCGGCTAATTCGTACGAATTCATACAACCTCACTCGTACAAATTTGTACGATTTTTGCTAATTCGCACATATTTTACGAGTTACCAAATTTGTATGAATTCGTACGAATGACCCCTGACCCCACCCCTAAACCTACCCATCCCGTGGGTTTAGACAAATTGTATGATTTCGTACGAGTGAGGTCATACGAATTTGTATGAATTAGCCACCTTTTAATCATCACTTGTACGAATTCGTACGAATTGGTCGTGTGACGGCATTGGTATTTTCACTGCTGGTAACACACTTGGTCTGAGGTTTAAATGTCCAGATGAAAGTACAGAAATGAATTGAAACAGTGACATACTCTCTAAAAAAAGCTGGGTTGTTTTAACCCAAATTTGGGTCAAATATGGACAAACCCAACTATTAGGTTAAAAATTGTATTTAAAAATGTATCCAAATGGCTAGGTTCGTCCATATTTGAAGTGTACTTGTGCATTCCTGCTGAAGTGGGTCAGTATGCAGTCGCTCATATCCACAATCCCTCTGAGACGCTCCCTCTCCATGTGTTGTACTTCTGGGAAGACGAGGCATATATTCGTCACTCTGATTTGCTTCATTTTTGCTGCCCGCCCAATAAGCTGCATGAAAATAATTATTTTAATTGTGGAAACAGAATTTGACAGCTGTGGATTTGTAAGACCCCAAATTATACTCTTACTGCAGGCCGAAACTATTTTTGTAAATAGAATTGTTTCTAATTATATTTTTCTTAAGGATTTTTAGGAGAAACACAACCAAACTGAGTTATGAAAGAGCAACATTCATACATTTTAACTTTTATACAACATTTATCCCAAGTATTCATGCATTACAAGCACCTGAAACAGATGAAGACCCACTATTGACTAGCTCAGAGTCAGCTGTGTGTTCTTGTTGTTTAGGACGTTGATATCGAGTCACACCAGACCTGGATATGAGCTCTGTTTCTTGACCCCCACTGAACACACACACACATACACAAACACACACAGTAACAAATCAGTAACAAAACAGTCAATATATTGTATGCAAACAATTCCCATTATTAGTCATTATTCAGTGTATATAATCTGTATACAATGTACAGTGTATCATTACATCTCTTACAGTCATAATATACTGCTTTTACAAACATTAGGATAAAAGCAGGATAAAATTACCATTATCCCAGAGATTATGAAGGATTGAGACTGTTGTAAATACATAAACATCTGCATTTTCAAAGAATTTTACCTGAGCTTGTGACGCCTTACAAAGATGAATACAGCAGCTATGAGCAGAAACAGGACGCCACACACTAGAACAGCAGTTAGGACAGGGAAATGTCCCAGACTGGAACCTGCTATTGGGACAGGCCTGTTATCAGCTTTTGGGTCAGGACTGGAACCTGCTATTGGGACAGGCCTGTTATCAGCTTTTGGGTCAGGACTGGAACCTGCTATTGGGACAGGCCTGTTATCAGCTTTTGGGTCAGGACTGGAACCTGCTATTGGGACAGGCCTGGAATCAGCTTTTGGGTCAGGACTGGAATCAGCTTTTGGGGCATGAGTGGGTTTTGTGAATGGATCTCTTCCTTAAACACACACATAAACATACATGGGTAGTTACTGTAGTAAATTAGCTCAAAGGGGAAATATGAATAATTAATCAGAACTTTTTATATATTATAATTCATATTTGGATCAGTTAATCGGATTAACTTGATGTAGCTAAATTAATATTACAATCAATTATTCAGTTCATCCAGCGAACACTCAGTATTGATTATTTATTTATTCTAAGAAAGGGTATTTTTCATGGTAACATGT